ACACACACACACACACCCCTCATCTACATATAATCTCCACAGCAAACATGAGCAACTTTTTTGAAATCTAATTATTAAATAGCCAGTATTACAGACAGAACTCCTCAGACATTGAGTGAAATCTACTTGCACACACCATCCCGAGCTAGGGAGCACCACCTCTAAATGCGAAGGTTTAGGCTGTCCCCAGTATGTGACGCACAGAATAAAAACATCCACTCGGATCACACACCCTCCTATTTTTCCAGCTCGTTTACTCAACAACTTCTTCTTGGATCCCATAGTTCTCTTGCTTCTGCTTTCTTCTGAACTCCTCCTCGCCTGCTGCCTTCACATCTTTCCATGTTGAGAGTCCACAGTTCATCAGTTAAGTCACTCCCTGACTCACTAAAGCCTTTGCTCCTCAATCCATTCATTGCATCAATCCGCCATAACGGTCTCCCTGGATGAACACAATCACTCACCCTTATCCACGACTGTTAAGGGCAGCAAGGGACACCAAAAGAAATCACGCACAGGACACAGTGGAGCGAATCCCAACGGGCCCTCAGGGCTGCCTGTCAATCCTGCACACATCTCTGGAACACTCCCTTTCCTGTTCTCCAGAAGGACTATTTCAAACATCTCTGCCCCTCAAGAATCCTATTTTCTCATACTCAGAAAACGCCACAGCCTCTTATAGCACAGAAGACAGAAGCATCAGCAGGAAACCGTCAGGACTGCACTGCCACCCATCACAAACCTACATTCACCAGCATCCACTCTGTTTTCCTCCCAATTCCTCAGCTACCTCACCCTCCTTATCCTTTCACTCTCCGGTACTGTCAGCCTTTCTGCCTTTACTACATCTTCCCTCAAGCCCAGAGTGAGCCCCTGCTCTATCTCCTTCCCATCATAGATGAAATTCTCAACAGAGCTATGATTTCACTGCTTTCATTTTGTGATGGCCCACTCACTCCTTACACCCTGTACGTAGGCTGCGATGTAGCTTCTGCACAGGGCAGTCACTCTAATGTGACGCCAATGACTTCCATGTTGCTGAATCCAATGGAGTATTTTCAGTCCTCATCTAACTTGCCCTCTCAAAGGAATTCTTCCTCCTAAAACATTCTCTTTCCTTGCTTGACTTTTTCTGATTCTTCATCTCGTATTTCTTCTACCTTTCTGAACTTTCTACTTCTCAATCTCTTTTGCTACTTCATTCTCCTCTAGTTGACTTTCAAATGTGGAAATTCCATATGCCTTGCTCCTATGCCATCTGCCTAGTTGACTAATGCATCCATAGGCTTAAACTTTCCTCTCCTTTTAGGTCCAAACGTTATCTGTCTACTCAATATCCATTTGAATCCGTATGGAAAACCCAAACACTGCATACACACAACTGAACCCATGATCTTTCTCCTCTCCTCTCTGTCCAAATCTCAGGAACACTTCCATCAAAAGCCAGCTGCTTAAACCAAAAACTTGGCATTCATCCTTGACTTGATCCTCTTCCTTTTCCCAAATACCCATCTCTCAAGTCAGAGTCTCCCTAGCAGACTGTTGCAA